TTGGAGGATGTGGACAATGGGGCAATAATTGAAAAAGTCGCCTTGCTCTTGCCTGCTGTCTTCGCTGAGTCCCCTACGGCCTACACAATGATTGGCCCTGAGGACGTGGTACCAGCTTTGCAGCGATTTGTCATCGACAAGAGAATGCGCGAAGAAACTATTCGAAAGCAGCTCCTTGAGCAACGCAAGCGCCAACGTTGCCGTCAAAGCTTGAGTGGGGTTGAAGGGATTGAAAAAAAGGGGCAACGTTTGTGGGAAAGCATGGCAAATATCCTTCCTGCCGAGAACTTCCGAATATGGCAAGATCTGGAGCAGGCCTTGTTACAATATCACCGGCTGCTCGAGGAACGGAGTCGGATCATTCAGAACCTAGGAGGATTGGAGGAGGAAAATTCCAGGTTGCGCGGGGCGGTCTGGGCGTGTATGGAAGACCGAGTGAATGCGGAGTTGTTGGTGCCGCCATTCGCGGCGAAAGGAGATGACTCGGGGGTGATCACAGAAGTATGAATAGAAAGACACCGAGCAAAAGTTAGGCTACTGGAATGCAGGAGGGGTATGGTGTTGGGACGAATGGCAAACAGCACATCCTTGCGAACATTGAAAGAGGGAGGGCATATAGACATCGCTTTGTTCCCTATTTCTCATCCTTCCTTCCTTTGAGATTCGCGTCTTACTCCTACAGCGGCGAACTTAGCCTTTTTGCCCCATCCTAAACCCACCATAACGTGACTGGGCACACGCAACTTTTGTTCCGCGTCTCGATATCAGACATATCTCACCTCCAAACCCAACAGCGCGTACACTCCACACACACACGAAGACATGCATATAAGACATTCCGACTCATGTACTCTCTCAAGTCCTACGCCTTCAGAGCTGGTACAAACGTTTAGCACAGGCCTCCAACTCATTCTTTGTCTCGCCCTTAGGGAAATTGGCAAGATCGTAGTAATGAGGGGCAATTTCCAGCAACCACTCGCATTCCTTCAAAAGGGATTATTTGGGAAGGCAGAAGAAGAGATTTGTCGAGGTCAATCAATGACCTCGTAAAGAATGAAAAATCGCTCCCTTCACCGCATCCCAGCCCCATCCAATCTTAAAAATCCCCTCCGGTCTCCATTGCTTTTACTCACCACAGCCGTGACAGTCCGGATGTAATTTTTGCTCGTTAAGACAAAGTCAGCGTACAGAACCCAAGGGGGCTTCATGTCGAGCACGGAGGAAGGGTGAATGGAAACAATTTGGTGGTCTTTCACTGTCAGGTACTGTCCTGTCTTCTGTAGGTGTGCTACTTGCATGTAGCCCCCTGAGGAAGCAGCGGAGGACAAAAAGGGGCGAGGGGGCACGCGTGAGGAGCGTCGCAGTCATACCAAAGCTTTTCCAAGCAAACGATTTCTCGCCTTACAACAGTCCAACCGTCTCCTATTCCCACCACCCGTTGCACACCTACCGGCCGTGAGAGCTTTTTTGATCCGGGTATAATAGTCCGGGGCGTTGAAATCTGGAGACAGAAGCGGCACCTCCATACGCGTCAACATTCTGTACGGCAAAGAAGTGAGAGAAGGCATGAGGTACACGCAGCTTCGAATTCGGTAACGAAGCATCCATTGCCCTATGCTGAGTGTGCCCTTGATCACGCAATGCCGAAACGTATGATAATTGTCGCGGGCACAACGAGAGGGATCCCAAGAGCCCCCCCCCGTACCTTTCCAGTTGGGTCCTGACATTCTCGGCACTGCCCATGGAGCGCACGTTGATAAAATTGTCCCAACACCAGTCCTTACTCCCCCCATGCTGTTTGTAAGCATGGTAGGCGTTCAGGAGGGTCAGATGGTCTCCGTCCACGTGAGCAAACTGCAGTGTAGGAAGGTGATCGGCACAATGTGAGGATGCAGACCCTTGTACAACGACAGGACGTACGTTTCCTTAAGTAATCCTCGGCTTTCTCCCTTCCGCGCCCATTCTGGGCCCCACGGACATCTTTCACTTTTTTCCCTACCTGAGCCTTGGCCTCGTCAGCACGCTTGGCGGCCTCTTTGGGGCGCATAAAGACTTGCGGGACGCTCAGCATGGAGACGATGGTGAGGATCTCGTTGGAACAGCCAAAATCGGGGGCAGAAAGGACCATCTTCGCCGCCTGTGGATCCAGAGGAAGTTCTGACATCCTATGCCCCATCTTGAAACCAACAGCAAGGAAAGAAGAAGGAGGGAGTCGTGACTTGAGACGCCCTGCTTGGTCTGGAGAGCATACCCGCACGTGTCCAAGGCTCCAAAGGGAACCTCATTGCCACTTTGCCCATAAATCCTACCTGCGTGATGAGGCCTTCGTCGGAGATAGCCCCCAGATAGTTCAACTCTTCCAAAGCCCGCGCCAACGTTTCTGGGGCCGGCGGGTCCATAAAGTCGAAATGCACCAGGTCCTCCACGCCCAACTTGAGGAGGGTTAGCACCTGAATTCGAAAGGGGGGCAAAAGGAAATGAAAGTACCGGGTACGGGGTTTAGCGTCGTGAGGGAAGGGAACTGGACCCAGAGAGAAAAGAAGGGAGGAGTTTCACGCAAAGGAGGGGGGAATGCATCCAGCCTGAACGGGAACGGAGGGGAGAGAGGATAAAGGTGGGGCCTCACGAGAGGGGCATAGGGACGTGGGGACAGAGGCCAGTTGCGAGGCATGTACGCAGGGTGACAAACTAGGAAAACGACAGAAGAGAAGCGTCTCTAGCAATTTAAGGTCCTGCGCTCACATCATTGAACATCTGGCGTGGATCATAGACTGGAACGACAATGGAGGAGACGTGTCGCCCAGCATACGCTCACCACGCGAAGGGATGGAAAAGGTACACTCTCGATCCAAGAGCACACCCAAATGCCTCCCCGGCCCCAACGGTCGCCGTCATCGAGCCTGGCGGACTCTCCCTGCCCTCCCTTTCCACGCACCACATTGCTCATCTGGCTGCGCAGAATTTCCGGGTATGTTTGCTCTTGCAAGTCCTTCTGAAAGCTCTTCTCTGTGTAGAGACGGAAACATTTCCCTGGTCGGGTGCGACCAGCACGACCGCTCCGTTGTTGGGCACTGCCAGGAGGGGAGGGAAGGAAGGAAAAGGATCAGTGGCCCGTGGATACAA